GTATATTTATATATTAAATATATGTATTAAATACTTTTAAGTATCATACATTTAATTATTTGATATAAGCATTATGTGTAAAATACGAATATATCCGAAGTTACTATAATTAGTTCCAACAGTGCTGATATTCCTATGCTTCTAAAAATCATTTAAGTATAATAAAGACATGTTTTAAATTATATTTTAGTACTTTTATTTATGGAACTTTAAAATTAATCAGTAATTCACATAACACAAATAGATAGCATTTAAAGTTTTTGCGTGTTTTACTCTTTATCCGAAATATTTGTATCCTGATATCCAAAGTATCCGAATAGTAGGTATTTAAAACTATTCGGATATTCGAACGATACAGCCATTTTGAGAGGTTTCATGAGTGCTCTTCATGGTCATGACTTGATATGCTTGCAAAGAGATGGTATTCCTTTTTACTAGTTATTATTGATCTACTGAGTAATATAGCTTCTTTGTGTGTTTTCTTTATTGTTGTTTGTTTTGTTTTGTTTTAAAGTGGAAACCCGATGATGTAGCTATGATTATGATTATTAATCCCAAAAAAATTTGGTGAATTTCGATATTGTTGCATTTTCTTTTTATTTAATTGTCTCTTAAATTGCTAGCTCTATGATAGATGTATGCTTATAAATATATAGTCCTGTGGGTAATCTTAATAGTGTTCTATTTTCTTCTCTCACTACTGGTTTCTCTTAAAGTGCTAATCCCATGAAGCAACTATAGTTATGAATATAAATATTATATAATTCCAAATAGTACCTTTGTGTAACTTCGATATTATTATATTATCTTTTCTCTTAATTACGAGGGTCACTATATATATTTTGAGCCTAATAATGAAAAAATACTAATTTGTTGTTGAAAATTGCTTTATTGTTTGTTGAAGTATTCTTGACGTTCGGGAACGATTTTTTATATGTTCAAACAGTTATAGTCGGTTGTTAGACGAGATGCGTGAGTACTCGCATTGTCTTGGTGGAGAATGATCCGACGGTGCCATATTTCACTGAAGACTTTCGGTAAACAAATAGTTGTTTACCATTCGAAATTGACCGTTTGATATCCCGGTATTGGTATAGTTGCCACTTAATCAGTTTTTCCGAAAAACAATCACTCTTGAAACACCCAGTCGACTGCTTGACTGCTGTTTACGTTCCGACTCATATGAGTACGCATATATCCATGATTCGTCGCCTGTTACAATCTTATATACGTTTTTTAAAGCACCGCCATTGTACTTCTTGAACATTTGTGTGCACCAATATGATTGGGTAATATTTTATATATGCTGGCAAAACTTATACCTAGGATTCCCTCAATCTCACAATATGTCGCATGTCGATCTTACATTATCAGTTTTTACACAGTATTAATGTTTTCTGACACAACAACTGATTTTGGACGACCTTCACGAATATGAATTTCGTCAGTGAGCGAACTTCGGGCACTATTAAAATCATTGTACCAGCGTTTCACCGTGGCAAAAGATGTGCATTTGGCTTCATCGCAAAATGTGGTAGTAAGTTAATCGATGCACTCTAGTCCTAATACTCATAATCTACGTCGAAAGTCGAAATAAATTATGGAACGAAAATTTTCTCGCGTTAGTTCCATTTTCTTGAGAACACTCAATTTACAAGTCACTGTAAATAACACGAATAACGCTCTTTTGATAAAAAGTATAAGTTAGGTTATATATAATAATGTCAAACTTTCCTATGAAAACGTCAGATGACACCTCATAATTATTAGTGCTGCTAAGCCTCAAAATATAAATAGTGACCCTCGTATCTATTCTTGAAGTGTTAGTCCTATACGTATAATGTATGATAGCAAGTTTTTACCCAATTTTTTTTAAGTTATCAAAATTTATATATTTGTATCTAATTTTATGATACAAAAATACATACTTATACATACTGAATTGTGATACTTGATTGACATACACTGTAATATACAATTTAACTAAATAATATGAAAGGTATGGATTAAGTTAGTTGTAATGAGTGATTAATGTGTCTGGTTAAATTTTTCTTTGTTCTATGCATTCATCTATACTTTAACTGTTTTATGTGATTTAAATTTTACCTAGTCATGTTCACATCTTCGGAAAATGGTGACTCATTAACAACAACTGAGGATCCCAATGTTGTTAAAACGCGTCGTATTGAAAGAAAGTTTGAAAAAATATACTCAAATATCGATGATTTAGATGAGCAAGCTGCGCAATTCGATGAAAGTTTTGATGCAGCTGTGCAGGAGGATGAGATAAGTAATTTACAAGGCGATTTTTCAAAAATGAGTTGGGATGACAGTATGTCACCGAACACAAATACTCTAGGTGATGTTGGCCAAAATACGCCTGATAATGATATTCAAGAAATAACAACAGGTACAGACTGATATGATTTAATGTTACCAAATACGTTTAAATATTTATGTCTGTATATATGTATGTTATATATATGAAAATATTTCTTAAATACTGAATGAAGAAATTATAATAAGAAATTATACTTATGTTAAATATTTTTGATGAAGTTGAGCTCTAATTGCATATTATATAATATAAAAACTATAACATTTAACAGAATCACAGGACATAATACTTTCTGACACATACACTCTCCACATTAATTTAATTAATAATACTCGTATAATGCATGATTTCTTATACAAACATATAAACTATCTATCGTCTATTTATTAACTAATATTTTTTTTTTAAATTTTGATTTTCGTATTTTATTCTCTCTTCTGTTTACTAACTATTGCTATCCTTTATAAGTAGTTCTTATCTATTGTTTTCGTTTATTTTACACTTTAAAATATATGTACTTTTTATTTTTACAATTATTATTTTTATAGAAGCGAGCGGTGAAATTGACCATTCAACTGATACCACTCCTGTGCCATTCTCGGCGGTTGTGCCCAAAAATGATTTACCTAAACCAAAACCACGATCTGTTGTAGCCACTTCTCCCATTAGTGAATTTGATGACAACTTGTTAACTTCAACACAGGAACAAATCACTACAGAACCATTACTGACTTCAACTGTCGATGTAACAAGTGAAAGCTCAGTATCTGCACCAGTGCCAGTTCCGAAACCACGTTCACAGTTAAAACAGACGGATTCATACAAAAATTTGGCATCCTTAGCTGAACAGTCAGACAGTATTAGTTTACGTAGTTTGGAGTTTACAGAAGATATATCTAAAACAGATGAACCGTCTACAGATATATCTATACGTTCACAACGTGACATGCACACAACTGAAACAGAATCGTTTGAACCTACCAGCGAGTCAGTAGATGATGTTGATACCGAAAAATCTGACCAAGCAGATGGAAAAACAACTAGCTTCTATATAGGAGAGTCTAGCCGAAATGTGATTGTAAAAACCACACCTACCAAATCAACCAGTGAATTTATAACTGATGCAAATGACGCTATGCAAGCCACAATTGAAGCCAAAGATATCTCCTTAATGAAGGAAGTTTCAGTAGATTCTGATGAAAATAATGATGTATTTAAAGAATATGTCACTATGAAACGAGATCAAGAAGAGTATGGAAGTAAATTGATTCGTCAAAGTTCAGACACCAGAAATGATTTACTAGAACAAGAATCGGCTGAGAGTAAACAATCTAAAGATGCTTTAGAAAAATCAGTAGAGAGCACTAAGCTAACAAGCACAGTCTCAACTGATGATTCAATAAAAGAAATTTCTGAAATATCACGCACAGACTCACAGGAATACACAGTATCTACAATCATTACTGAATCACTTGATACGGTTCTTACGGACAAAGGTTATACCTCAGTAGAAAAGAGTGAACTTGAAACGCTTGAAAAGGAAATTCCATTATTTCAAAGCAAATGCAAAGTAATACATTCCCCACAAGATTTACAAGTTTCTGCTGAAGAGCCTATGTATAAATCTACAGTTGAAATATATCCTGCAGAAACGCAGTTATCATTAGATTCTGCAAGTGATTCCTTAAAAGATATATCAAAAGACATAGAAATGCCAACCGAAATTAAAACTGTAATAGCGTCCAAGGAAAAAGAACCAAGCACAAGTGCATCAATCGATACAGCAAAACTTTCTTATGCTTCAATGCAAGAAGAAGAAGATATATCTTCCTTTATTGGTATACCAGACAAAGTACAAGAAGGCATCGAAAAACCATTTGACACTCTACAACAAACTGAGGGACTATTTGAGGGTACTGTAAGAGAAACTCTGAATCGTGAGGCAGTTATGGCACACTACGCTAAAGATGTGTTCAATAATTTGAAACCTGAGACCCTTGATGATCATGGTTCTCTGGGTTTTGTATCAACTGGAACTGGCGAAGATTATAGTTCATCTGAAGAACATGCTGCTAAAGAAGAACATGCATCTCTAGGCTTTATTTCAACAGAAACAGCTGAAGATTTCAGTTCTATGGAAGATTATTATCAAGAAAAAATGGTAAAGGCTAATATTTTAACTGAAGAAGCTACTACACAGAAAAGCTCAAGCAGTAGTACATTTGAAGAAATAACTTCAGATCAAACAATGAAACCATTTGACGTAGTAATACATCGTGTTAAAACTGAATCATCAACAGATACAACAAATCGTTGGTCGGTGCCAGAGATTGATCAATCAAGTTCAAGTGAAAGTTATTACAAAAGTTTTGAAAAATCAGAAAGTCGTCCTTTATCA